TCCGTAGCAGTTAGTAGACTTCCTCTTTGAGGCATGCAACTCCTACAATCGGGTGGTAAATAGCATCTCTCAGGGCCTGAGAAGCAAAAGAGCAGATGGTCCAGGTGACCTGGGGAGCCTATAACAGAGATGGGATTTGAATGTTAAAAGAAAGAGGTGAGGGGCGCCTGGTTGGCTCAGTTGGTTAAGCCTCCCAACTCTCTCCATTTTGGCTCAGGTCATGATCTCACGGTTCCTGCGATTGAGCCCCATGTTGGGCTCCGTGCTGACAGCGCGGAACCTGCTTGGGATTCTCTCTCTTTCCTCTCTCTGCTCCTCCTTGCCTCTATCAAAATAAATACATAAAAATTTTTTTTTCTCAACTTTTTTTTCTTTTTTTTAAATTTATTTTTGGGACAGAGAGAGACAGAGCATGAACGGGGGAGGGGCAGAGAGAGAGGGAGACACAGAATCGGAAACAGGCTCCAGGCTCCGAGCCATCAGCCCAGAGCCTGACGCGGGGCTCGAACTCATGGACCGCGAGATCGTGACCTGAGCTGAAGTTGGACGCTTAACCGACTGCGCCACCCAGGCGCCCCTAAAAATTTTTAAAAAATAAAAGAAAGAGGAGAGTCTGTATAATTTCATAAGCTCAGTGAGAATCCTCTTATAATTGAGTCCTCTGGAGGAAATCACAGCCTTATGTACAAACTATAAATCATAGACAAGTATGAAGTAAAAGAAAATAAAAGTCACCCCCAGGTACTGGCCCAGGTTGGTTGTTTTAATAAACGTTAGACGGTGGAAAGAGTGACTGTTGAGTGAGAATTGCAACATTGAAAGAAAGAATGAACTGCTACCATGCTGGTATGTTTCTACTATTTTTCCCTATCTGTTATCTTTTTTAAAAACTTTTAATCTGTATTTAATATCCTGATTTTTTTAATCTCAAAAACAAAACAAGCACTTCTTTTTGTTATTATAAACTTTTCATAAATACTGTAACATTATGTTTCATAATCTATTGATGCATTCATCCAGTATTAGCCTGCTACTCATGTTTCTCATATTATAAATAAGACTGTGTAGAACATCTTTGTACATGAATTTTTCTTTTTCTTTTTTATTTCCTCTTCCAACATTCTTAGGATTATTTTCCTGGAATCAATTTCTAGGCATAGAATAGAATTACTTTAGTAAAGGGTACAATTTCTTCAGGGCTGTCAAAATCAATGTGAATCATCTTTATTTTATTCTCTATTGGATCACTTCTTTTGCTGAGTTTTGTTTCTCCTGTAAATTGGAAAAGCTTTCTTTCCATCTTTATCCAAGATGCTACTAAACACGTTGAGCACAACAGGTTCAAGGGTATGATTTACTCCAGTTTGAAAGTTCTTTATGTTTGAAAATTCCAATTCTGTGAATTATAATACTGTCTTCCTTCATGTTAATTTAAAATTTTGTCTAATTATCTTGCTTAAAGGGAGTTGCCTGAGAATAGCCTTTGATGCCTAAGTGTGCAGCCTATGTTTTCCTAGTAGTGAGAATTTCTAAGCTTGATGTAGTTAAAGATAGATGTAAAAAAGCATTTAGCACTGGTATCAGATTTATTTAGTTTTAATTGTTTTATGTGAGTTGAATTGGTATGACTAGATTTGTGATGTTCTTTGCAAAATTCATTCCTTTTTTAGCAGGGCACATTTCACAAGATAATCTTGAAATGGCTAGACATCCTTATCTTTTTTAATGGTTTTTAACTCCTATTAGCTATAATGGGATTTCCACAAATAAATTGCTGCATTTTGTTGAAAGATAGATACTAGCACCCAGCTGACCGTCCCCCAAGCACGGGGGGTTTTGATCCTACTCACACACATGCCATTTTTCTTTCCTCAATGCAGTACAATTTTAAAAACTCCGTTAAAGAGCAGGAACATATTTACTAGACAACGATGTGATTCTGGTTTTTGAAGGCTGACAATGTGCTTCCATCAGTGCATTTGGCTGCCTGGGAAAAACAATTCTTTAAAAGCTCCCAATAAATGACATAAATAAACCAGTGAGGAGCCAGGGGCCTGCTCAGACTCTGCTGAATTATATGTCCCTGTGACAAACTATTGTTTGAGGACAATGACAAACATTTCAGACCATCTATGGAAGTCACTGGGGGGACTTTTGTTTCTCTCTAATAGCCCCTGAAGGCTTTCTGGCTAATAGTGTGTATAATGAGTCCAGTTTTCCAGCCCCTGAGAGGAGAGGCTGTGTTACTTTTGTATGCGCAGGGAAGGCCTCTGAAATTTCAGCAGTGGCAAAATTTGGTCTTTTGTAAGGGAGGCACACAACCTCCTCAGCCGGGGAAGCTGAAGAGAGGGAGAAAAGGTGAGGGTCTTAGGACAAGATGCCAATATAGGGCTTCACATCTGCGGCCCAAGTCAGGATCAGCTCTCAGGTTTACTCAGAGCATCACAGCCAGAGAACGGAGGGCCAGTCCAGTGCCAAGATACTAACTCAGGTTTGGAAGAGGCTTGGCAGATGCTGATGGCTAGGGGACACTCTAGTCACCTTCCCTTCCTTGTCCTCCCCATCCCCCATCCCAGGCTCTCTCTATGGGAGTCTCTACGTCACTGAGGTGAGATTCCAGATCTCCATTTTAATAAACCTCAAACCCCTCAGGCGATTCTGTGGCACACTCAAGCTGGACAGCCCCTGGTTGGGTTCGGGCCTGCCCAGGGCTGGGAAGGTGGCATCTATTCCCATGTCTGCATGGATCGCTGAACTAGGAATTGGGAGGCCAGAATCATAGTGCTGGATTCCAATATTTGTTTGTGGAACTTCGACATGCCACTGTTCCAAGTCTTGGTCCATTTATTTGTGAAGTCAGGGTATGGACCTGTGGCTCACAACCCTGGTTGCACGTTGGAATCACCAAGGAAGCTCTGAGGAAATGGAAAAGCCTGGGTCCCCTCCAAGCTCTGTGAATTGGAACATCTACCTGCAGGTGGAAGCTGGGCATCTATAGATTTATTCCAGCCTCAGGCTCAGAGAAGTAAAGGCATTTGGCCAAATTCTTCCTAAATAATTATTTATACAGTTGGGCTGGAATTGAGGCTTTCCTATGCCCTGGAAGAGCACATCATCATCATCAACAATAAAAGATGAATCATCAGTGCAGGTCAAGTTGGCAGCCTCAGATCTGGGCTTCCAGTAGAGAGACGTAACAGAGGGTTGGAACACTATCCTGTTGGTTTGGTTACATGGGATTGGGATCTCAGAATTGGGGCCACTGGGCATGAAGACATTTGTGGATGGGTGGAAGAGGAACTAAGGGAATTTAACCCAATTCTAGGACACGCACTGAGGTAGTAGCAACAACTCAAATCACAGTGTCCTGGAAAGTATGGAGAATTCAGTCTTCAAGGTTGGTGACCATCCTCGTGGTGTCTAAGTAGGGGTCTCACAGTGAACCAGCAGGAGGCTTGAAGATGAATCAGGATAATCCCTGTGTCATGATCTTTCTAGTTTTTCCAGCTAGGGTGAAGGCCAAGGTCTAGGCCAAGAAAGAGGAGGGCCTCAACCAAGGAAACTGGGATTCAGGAAGAGGCTGCCAACTCCAGGAGAGCTCTAGAACAGTACTTCTTATAGGGTGAGCCTCAGATCAGCAGTGTCAGAATCACCTGGTGAATCATTATACATGCAAATTCTACTGAATCAGAAGCTCTGAGGGGGTGGATCCTGCAATGTGTGATGCAAAGAGCCCTCCAGATGATTCTGATGTACACTGAAGGCTGAGGCCCACTGGTGTAGAGTTTTTGTAAGGAGCAAAGGCAAAGCAAATGTCTTGGGGGAACATATGGTACAATGGGCCTGTCATAACTAATCACTGACTTAGAGACACAGGAGGAAACTTGCATCCCCTTGTTGGATATGGGCCTCTATTGCTATGATGAGGGTTATCAGGGCCCCCAGCTGACCAGAGCTGGGCACATCAGGGACTACTAGAGGCAGGGGAGGAGATGCCAATGTCCATGGATACACCTGGAGATACTCAGGTGGTACCTCCTCCCTCAGCGCTAGGGCTGAATTCTGCTCACCACACCGTCTGCTTCCCTTGCTGAGTGCTGCTGGGTCCAAGTCAGAATAAAGTCAAATATTTTTGAAAAGTTCTGTGTCCAGCCATATTCAGATTATACTTAGGCCACACAGATAACATCTTCCTCACGGTCAATAAAAGTGATGCACAGCAGACTGTGGAGTTATTCAACACAGTTTTCAAAGATCTCTTTTATTGCCTGTGTATAAAAGCATGCAGAGACTCCTTTTTTTTCTGAGAGGGCAGCAATGATACACTGATTTGGTAGAAATAAATGATGGACATGTTGTATCAGGCACAGTGGGTCCTCCATTCATGTGAATTATTTTGCTGCAGAAAAAAACCCATAAGTGAACAGGCTTAAAACAGGCACAACATGGGGCGCCTGGGTGGCGCAGTCGGTTAAGCGTCCGACTTCAGCCAGGTCACGATCTCGCGGTCCGTGAGTTCGAGCCCCGCGTCGGGCTCTGGGCTGATGGCTCAGAGCCTGGAGCCTGTTTCCGATTCTGTGTCTCCCTCTCTCTCTGCCCCTCCCCCGTTCATGCTCTGTCTCTCTCTGTCCCAAAAATAAAAAAAAAAATAAATAAAAACGTTGAAAAGAAAACAGGCACAACCTCATGTCTGTGAACACCACATGGAAGAAACCACTGCTTTTTTCTAATATGATTGTGTTGGCTACTTTTATGTGTCAACCTGCCTGAGCTAAGGGATGCCCAGAAAGCTGGTAAAACATTATTTCTGGGTGTATCTGTGAGGGTGTTTCTGGAAGAGGTTAGCATTTGAATCAGTAGACTAAGTAATAAAGATTGTCCTCACAAATGTGGAAGGGCATCATCCAGTTAGTTGAGGGCTTGAGTAGAACAAAAAGATGGAGAAAAGCTGAATTAACTCTCTCTCCTGAAGCTGAGATATTTATCTTCTTCTGCCTTAGGACATTGGCACTTCTGACTCTTGGACATTTGAACTCAGACTAGGACTTATACCATGGCCCTCCAATGATCAGGCCTTTGGTGTCAGGCTTAACTACACCACGGATTTTCCTGGTTATCCAGCTTGCAGATGGCAGATTGTGGGACCTCACAGCCTCCATGACGATGTGAGCCAGTTCGTATTATTAATCTCTTTCATGTACATCTATGTATATCGTATTGGTTCTATTTCTCTGGAGAACCCCAATGCAATGATAATGGATATACTTGAAGTAGTAATGTTTGAGCAGTAGTTATTGGCATTGAAAGCCCCCATTATAGAGACATGGTCCAAACTAACCACTTGAGAAGGAAATAAGTAATTCTTAAGCTGTCTGTGGTTATTGGATATATTTAGAGGGGCTGCCTCCAACTGAAACCACATCCTTGTCTTTGCCTCCAGAAGGTGGAGATAGGCATTTTGGCTTAAGCCGGGATGTTACTAAAATTTTTGTTTAGTTTGAGTGTAAGCAGACATATTTCTTGATCTTTGTGGCTTGATGGAACATTACTTTCTTTAACTCACCTTGACATGGTGTACAGAGTTTGACTTTCTTGTATATTTTTGGTGGGAACTAGACATGTGAAAACAGTCTCTACTGTGCAACTGAATTTCCTGCACCCGGGAAATTCTAATGTAGATATAACCACCTCCCTGCAGTGAGGAGACTGTAGAACCACAGCCTCTGGAGATGCCTGGAATTATTTTTTAACTTTCTGTTATGAAAATGTTCAAGTTCAGACAGAAAATGACAGAATAGTGCAATGAAGCCCCATGTAATCATCACCTACCTTCGACAGTCTTCAACAGAAGTGTGTTTTCTGTACCCCCATTCACTTCTCTCCAGTTCTCTCACCATGACTGATTTATTTTGAAGCAAATCTCAACTATCATGTCATTTCATCCACATATATGTCAGTATGTATTTCTAAAAGACAAGAATTCTTTAAAAAAGCATAATCACAATACCATTATCACGTGTAAAAAAAAATGACAGTATCTATTTATTAGCATCAAATATCCAGTGTTTACTTCCCTGATTGCATCATAAGTGGTATTTTTATTGTTGATTTGCATGAATAAGGATACAATACTTAGCATCCTTCGTCTTCTGTTTGGGCTCAGAAATCCTTAATAAATTCTGAGGGGCCGAGGCTGTTGTGTCATCCCTCTGTAGCCCAGTGATTGGCCCAGCAAGCATATCGTCTGCCAGATTCGGGCAGCAGAAGCCAGAGGGGCAGGTGGTAGAAAAATCACATGAACGTAGGTTGCCAGGATCCCAGCTTGGGTCTAAGCTGTGTTCATTGTAAAATCTGGACATGATTTCAGCACTGGTGGGGAAAGGCCACTATGGAGTCTACCTGATGAGAAGCTAAGGATTCACTCGGGCAAAGACTGAGATGAAGGATGAAAGAGTTGCTCCAAAGAATAGGTCCCAGGGTGGGGCTGGCTGTCCTTGGCTGTCATCCAATGCCAGTAGATCCTACTTACCTCCTGGAAGCATGCGGTGTGTGTGACCCAGTTCACATTCTGGAAGAATGCAGTATGATGGCTCTGGGTTTGAAGGCTGGTGACAATAGGTACCTACTAGTCAGGTCCTTTCCTTACCCAAGGTCAGGGGCTCACTAAGATCTCCATGGGACTTTGAGAATTCAAGTTGCTGGCACTGTGAAAGCAAGGCAAAGTAGCTGATGAATTTGATTAAAGCCCATGGTCTATGAGTGGAGTATCTGATTTTTTGGGGATACAATTATTGGCATCCCTGTCTCCTTTAAAGGAAGGTAGGGGAGGGGCGCCTGGGTGGCGCAGTCGGTTAAGCGTCCTACTTCAGCCAGGTCACGATCTCACGGTCTGTGAGTTCGAGCCCCGCGTCGGGCTCTGGGCTGATGGCTCAGAGCCTGGAGCCTGTTTCCGATTCTGTGTCTCCCTCTCTCTCTGCCCCTCCCCTGTTCATGCTCTGTCTCTCTCTGTCCCAAAAATAAATAAACGTTGAAAAAAAAAAATTTAAAGGAAGGTAGGGGAGAACTCACCTATTTATCCTTCTGTTCATTTATCCATCTAGTTATCCATCCATCCCCTTTCTGTTCTCTCTACTTTGTGATTCTCCTCAATAAGCAGACAAGTTATTTCCATGTGGCTAGGGACAATGGCTGTTGATAGCCCTAGACTATTCATACTAACACAAAGGGAATTTCTCTCTTACATCATCTGTATGTGAATTCCAGTGAAGAAATGCCACTGGCGTTTTTGGAATCACATGCCCTCAGTTACTGTGTTCAGTAAAACAGGATACTCCAGTAGGTAAGCTCATATCAGGCACCCACCCTGTGGCCAGAGGAGAAGGGAAAAAGAGGGGAATATCTAGGGCAGGAAAAACAAACTCACTAATAAACTACAATATCTATCACACTCTATATCACACGTTCCCTCACTCCTCCACTGACATGAGTTGAACTCCCAAGTTAAAGCCTCCAAGATTGATGAAAAGGAAGTATGGATAGATACTGTTCCCACTTGCAAATTTTGAACTTTATAGTTTAGCTTATTCAGTTTTATTTAGTGTGACTACCTCATTTCCCACCATATTGATTTATTTATTGAGTCTCTCTCTAATACAAAGGAAGAAGCAGGTAGAGAAAGTACTGTAGTCAACTGACGGAAAAATGGTTTTCTTCATGGAATCAGCGAATACCAGCCCGTTTCTTCATCCTTAGTTGCACAAACCATCCTCACGTCAGGGTAAGTATCACCTTGCATCCCTCTCCTCTGTACCTGTCCCCATTTCTCCATGTAGGATTTGTAATAGTGTCATCAGGACAGAGAGGAGTGAGGAGGTGGGCTGGTGGGATGGCGTGTGTGTGAAGGAGTAGAGAGAAGTCAGAAGAGGAGAAAGCAGACTTCTGGTTCTCCCGTGTGTGTGAGCGTGCGTGTACCCACACACACACAAACACACCTGCACGCACAGGCACATTCATGTGGATTAGCTGACCAACGCTTTATTTAAAAAAAAACAAACTCTGAAGTTGAGGATAGTTGAAGATAGTTTTGTGATGACTGATAGGACTCTGAACACCATCCCTTGTTCCAGGAAACTCACAAGGGGGGTAATTTGGCACTTGGTCAACAATTCCTGAGAGATTTTAAAAACAAGATAAGAGTGTTTGCAACTTTCTTTACAAGTCTTTCTAAATCTGAAGAAACAAGCCCAATTGTTAACTAATAGCCAATAATATATTGGTTTACAGTGGATGCAATAATAATCTGTATATTTGGTATATTTATGTTCATTCTATAAGTATTATTTGTCTGTTTTTAGTTATCCAGAGGAGTTTATGATTGATCTTTTCTTTTAAAGATATTTGTTAATTTCTGATGCTCATCATTGGTCAGGAACCCTTATCCCTTTACAAAAGTGAGTCCAAGGGAAAAAGAGTACTTTTATGCAATGATCTACTTAAAAACAACATTCAAGAGCGTTCTGTAGCAAACAATTGGGAACTGCTGGTACTCTTTAGATTCTAATATAAACATGGTCAAAAAGTCTGGGCATGAGTTAGAAACAACTGAATATTAAAAATGCAAATGGAACAGCTGAACTCAAGGGAAATGCTTCATAAGCAGACAAAAGTACCATCAAAAATGCTGTAGTGGTGTTATGAAATTTTAATTCATGATCAAAAAATTTTCTCACAAGTCCCAATACTTCTTTCCAATATATCTTTGAAATTATAGTGGGACCCGGTGGATAACTTTTTAAATATGCCTCAAATTGCAAGTAGATGAACATTTGGCCCAAATACTTTAAAATTCTTACTCTGGCTAAGCTTGGGGATTCAGTAGGAAGAGTTACATCAGCACAGACCAGCCCTGCCTCTTATATCTTACATCTTCTAGCAACCAGAATGTGTTTCAGGCACGCATTTTGGAGTTATGTTTAACAATCCCGAGACATCATCTCTATTCAGCCTCACAGCCTCCGGTGGAGACGAAGAGAATATTAAATAATCGAGAGGGCCTGCCATGAAATCTTGCAGCTCTTGAGTAAAGCTCGGCATCAGGGTGACTGCTTTTTAAAAAAATATTATGTTTGCATTTTGTTTCAGAAATAATATGCTTTAAGCTCTTAAAATGAGCATTACTGGGTGTTCAAGGTCAGGCACAACCTTGAGTGTTAATGGAGTGTTAAAAGAAACCGGTTTAAGGTAAATTCCATTGGTCTTATACTGAAAAAATTTATTTAGGTGCAACTGAGCTTGCAAGCTCAGGTAAATCATCCACATTTGACAGCGGTGTGGAAAGAAAGTGGAAACAAGTAGAAAGCCAGTGTTTTGAGGTTCGCAAAGGGCTTGAGGTATGGTGTGACTAGAGGTCTGTTGGATGTCTTAGCTTTCTATGGCTGTGTAACAAATGACCACAAGTTTAACAGCTTAAACAATTCCCGTTTGTTAGCCCACAGTTCTGTAGGTTAGATGTCCAGTACATCATGCCTAACTTCTCTGCTCAGGGCCTCACTTAGCTGAAGTCAGGGTGATCGCTGGACTGAGTTCTCACCTGAAGGCTCTAGGGATGAATCCACTTCCAGTCGCATCACTGTTGTTGTTGGCAGAATTCAGTTCCTTGTGGTTGCAGGGTTGAGGTTCCCATTTTGTTGCTGACTGTCATCTTGGGCCCACATTCCTAGACCCATGGGCCCCTCCATCTTCAAGTCAGCAATGGCACGTCAAATTCTTCTTGTGCTTTATTTTATTTTGTTTTATTTTATTTTATTTTATTTTTTTAATGTTTATTTAATTTTGAGAGGGAAAGACAGAGCACAATTGGGGGAGGGGCAGAGAGAAAGAAGGAGACACAGAATTCGAAGCAGGGTCCAGGCTCTGAGCTGTCAGCCTGACGTGGGCCTTAAACCCATGAACCACAAGATGATGACATGAGCGAAAGTTGGACACTTAACCACCTGAGCCACCCAGGCACCCCTCTTCTTGTGCTTTGAAATGTTGATCTCCTCTGTTGTTGACCTTTAGACCCAGATTTATTATTTAAAAAAAATGTTTTTTAATGTTTATTTATTTTTGAGACAGAGACAGAACATGAACAGGGGAGGGTCAGAGAGAGAAGGAGACACAGAATCTGAAACAGGCTTCGGGCTCCGAGCTGTCAGCACAGAGCCCGATGTGGGGTTCAAACCCACAGACCGCGAGGTCGTGACCTGGGCCGAAGTCGGACGCTCAACCGACTGAGCCACCCAGGCGCCCCTAGACCCAGATTTAAAGGGCTCCTGTGATTAGGTCAGGCCCACTCAGGTAATCTCCCTGTCTTAAAGTTAATTGGTTTGGGATGTAATTATATCTGTAAAATCTCTTTATAACATAAATAATTATGGCAGTGATATCATATTCACAGTCCTAGGTTATACAGGGTATGCATACCAGGGGATAGGACCTTGAGGGGCATCTCAGACTCTTTCTACCACCGTGGTGTTTGTTGAGACCCACACCCTGCAACCAGAGGCACTGCCTCTTAGAAGACTGAACTTCTGATGAGTCTGTTGGAAGGAGGGGGACAAAGGAATAATGATTCAGCGGGGGTGGGGGTTACCTAGAAACCACATGTGCCTTTTATCGGGTCTGCTTCCTAATGTAGCAGGCACCTTATTATGTCCTTCTTAAGACCTCAAAGAATAACATGAACCATCTAGAAATCTTGATAAGTGAATGCATAAACCTAGCTGGGGATGCAGGAAAGAGGCTGGCCTCCTCTTGTGCCACCACTGGGAATCCATGAAAATTGGGAAAAGATGTCATTTAATTGGATACAGTTTTGTGGGCACTGCCTGGTCAGTTGGCTATCAGATCCCGGACAGTCCCACTCACCCCTCAACCAGGCACCTTGTGCACAGTCATGTGCAGTGTCCCTGTGTAGACTCTGGGTCCAATACAAGTGGGCTTGGGCCTGGGCCTGTGTGGGTCTGGGCAGTAGACACAGAATTTTGTTGCATCTAGAGAGGGAGAACTATAAACACTATCAATTTACACAGCAAAGAGCAAAGGGCGTAGAGAAGAGCTTCTTACCTCAGCACCATTGACCTTTGGAGCCGGACAGTCCTTTGTGGTAGGGGCTGTCCTGTGCATTGTAGGATGTTAGCAACACCTCTGACCTCAGTAGCATGCCCCCTAAATTGTGACAGCCAAAGATGTTTCCAGACATGGTAAAATATCCCATCGGGGGCAAAATCACTCTCAGTAGAGAATGGCCATAGATGTATAAATTCTAGAACATAGGAAATCCCTCTAATATCCCATGGAAGCTTTATGTCTTTTAGGACTGGAAGTGAGGAATGTAAATATTGGAGAAACCACAAGCAGTTATGTGACTGTAGGGCAGAATGTATGAGAGAGTGAGACACAGAGAGAGAGAGAGTGATCTCTTTGCTGAAGTCCTGATCAAGTGGCATCTGAATACTGGACGTCAGTGCTGGTAGTCAATGTTATTCCTGAGCTTTTAAATTACATGAGCCAAGGGGCGCCTGGGTGGCGCAGTCGGTTGAGCGTCCGACTTCAGCCAGGTCACGATCTCGCGGTCCGTGAGTTCGAGCCCCGCGTCAGGCTCTGGGCTGATGGCTCAGAGCCTGGAGCCTGTTTCCGATTCTGTGTCTCCCTCTCTCTCTGCCCCTCCCCCGTTCATGCTCTGTCTCTCTCTGTCCCAAAAATAAATAAATGTTGAAAAAAAAATTACATGAGCCAATATATATACATTATATATATAAGCCAATGTATATATACATTATATATATATAATATAAGATTAGATTATATTATATCTTATATCATATATATTATAATCTTATAATATAAGATTATATTATATCAGTTTATTATTAGATTATTAGATTATATTACATATAATATATATGTATGTATGTATATATATGTATGTATATATGTATGTGTGTGTATATATATATATATATATATATATATATATATATATATAAAACTTAAGCCAATTTATGCCATTACTTGGCTTTCTGTCACTCATACCTAAAGAGTCCTACTTGACACAAGGGGCATTGCAGAGAGAGTAAAAAGGATTAATAATTAGGACACAACAGGGCCTTGTCATGTCCTTCATGCATGGGAGGCTGGTTGGGGTCAGGTGGTCAAAGGGCCTTGTATGCCATCCTGAGAGATTGGAACCAACACCGCAGAGGGTTGGTAGAATAAAGCCATTCAGCATTCCTGAAACTCTGAGTTTGGCTTTTATAGCCAGAAGGTATTGGAAAGCACCCCCATTCTCATTGTCTTAGATGTTTCACTTCCATTGTAGTAAAATAATGGAACTGGTATTAGGAATGAAAATCCATAAACATCAAGAAGAATATGGATCCATGACCCATAAAGCTGATTTATTAAGAAAAATTTGCCGAGAAAACTTGATTGGTTTTATTGATGGAATGGCTAGAGTAGAAGATGAAAGGGTTGCAGTAGAAGTCATAGATCTTACTTTAGTAATGCAGCTGATATATTATTTCACAAAATTTTGCTTGACAAATTAATTCAAATTGGGTTGGCGGGGAGCTGTCTGCACAGATTGAGAGCTGGACGAAGATTCAGAAAGTGAGGTAATGACAAACAGTCATGGATGGAGATACTATGAGCTGCCTGATGTGCTCCTGGAAGGGTGATCTGGCTCTAGCTTCACTGAATCTCTTAATTCCTTATTGAGAAGAAGGGGTC